AACCTCTGTTCTTCAGAGTGGTAGTCTTTAAGGGGTTGAATAATTGTGGCAATGAAGAAACCACATAAGAACCATTTACTACTGTATTACATAAACAATTGATGTCATTTTAGTTGCATTTGGGTAGTTACAACGTCCTTGTAGGATTTGATTCTGAATACAATTCCAAATGTACACTATAGTCCCTAAACCCCTTTACAGCATTGGGGGTTGAATAATTTTGGCCACAACTGTATATTCAGAGGGGATTATACTACAGTAGCACTCTTCAAGTGACGGGAATTCTTTTAGTTTGCTTTAGTGCATTTAGAGACAATTGCAACACTTTTCAAAATAGGGTTTAATAATGAAAAGGTCAAATAAATATTTTCAAACACAAATGTATTACAAAACAACAAAGAGAACAAGCCACAGCAAAAAAAAGAGGTGAAAAAAAGTTCTTGCAAAGTTTCAGCAGAGTTCAGTGAGAGTGAGCAAGGTGTCATCTGCAGATGTTTCTCGTTGATGGTACATGAGAGCTGTCAAAAATGTGCTGGTGCCCTATTTTTCTGTGGTATCAAAGGGGTGTTGACAGAGACCATCTGACCACCCTCACCCCGAACTGATTCTTCAATCTGCTGTTGAGTGCTGGCGTCGGCATCTTGACTATGGGAAAGCACAAAGTGTGCTGTGCTTTGTATTTGGACCACAGTCCTCTGGGACCTGCGAAGTGTCCCAGAGAGGGGCAGGGGAGGGGCGAACATCTGGCTCAGTTTGCTGCTGCGAACTAAGCCAGAAGTGGGTGATGGTACCTGTCAAAACCAGGTACCCGCTCCTCCCTCCAATGCAAAAGGTGCCAAATGTGCCAGCAGAGGGGGGAGGAGACAGATAAGCGGAGCTTCCACTTTTGGGTGGAACTCCGCTTTAAGCGGCTGAGGAGGGGTCATGGGGTGTCACCATGTTTGATTATATCATGGCCCTCCTTTACACACAGTTTTATACTAATATGAATATCTTTCAATATGTGCAGGTTGCATTCTAGAAACTGGTAGATTATTGTTCAGCATGATATTAGCTTCAAATTGGATACAGATGTGACAGGTCTTGGATATCTATTTCTCATAGAAGGGGTGTGGAGGCCTAATCCACTCTGTTACCTCCTAGCATAGGGGTGTTTGGGTTCAAAATGCTACCCAATACTGATGAAGGTGAATATGACATTATTCTTGTGATACTGTCATCATTTCAGAAGTTATGACATACAGTGGGATGATGATGGCTTCTCCAAGAGACAGATATGCATATCCTAACTAAGGTATTTATGACCCAATGTCTGGTAACTTTCTGGTCACTGAAGCTAAGTCAGACCCTTTTGAGGGCCCTGCCATGTATATTGAGAGTTATGCGGGCCATAGAAGGGATGAAAAAACGGCCGAAAATCAGCCGAAAAAAAAAAATCGGCGATTTTCGGATCATTAGTGCGGTAATCGGTTCGGCCATTTTTAGTGATTTTTGCCCTTTTCCATTATCGGTCCTGCTGAGGAAAAAATCTGCCAAATTTGTCGTTCTGCCGATTTTCACGGCAATGATGGACAAATCTGCCGATCTTTTTCCGATTTTAAAAAATGCGCATGAGCAGAGACATGAAAGAAGAAGGAAAAAAGAAAAAGGAATGAAAAAAATAGAATATGAATAAAAAGAAGAAAAATAGAATATAAAGAAGAAGAAAAGAATAGAATATGAAGAAGAAAAGAAGAAATAGAATATGAAGAAGGAGGAAAAACAAAGAAATAGAATATGAATAAGAAGAAGAAAAAAAAAAAGAATTTCAGTCTGATATTTTATTTGACATTTAAAAGTATAGCAACATTGTATCTATTTGAATCCGAATAGAAACATCAGTATCCGAAATGGATACAAATAGATACAATGTTGCAACTTTTTCTTCTTATTATTCATATTCTATCTCTTCTCCTTCTGCATATTCTATTTCGTCTTCTTCTGTATATTCTATATAATTGCCGGCTGTAGACGGGACAAAAATCAGCCGACTATTTTTTTTACCAATGCCGGCTGGTAACGTCGGCTGATTGAAATCAACCGATTTTTCGTTTTTAAAAAAAAAAACGGCTGGTTTTCTGCCCGTCTATGGCCTGCATTAGATCCTGCTAGTCCTATTACCAGACAGATAAGGGGTTGTCTGGCAGCAGCTAAGAGTTTGTGGATTGCTTGAGCTAAAAGGAGGAGTTTGGAGGAGAGAGGAAAAGATCACTGTGCTATGCCTTCTTATGACGAAATGGCACAGGAGACTTGTGACGTGAACAAAATGACTGATACCCATCCTGCCATTAAGGTGCCAGGTACGCACGACCATTACAATAGGTATTGATTATTTTAATAAATATGTGTTTTATTATGTTTCTACAAACGGAAAATGCAGCAATCAGAAGTGCCCTCCTTTATTATAGGCAATTTCAGTTAGCCATACATCAAATGAAACGTGTTTGTAGAACAAAGAATTGTTTACTTTTAAAGACCATTATGTTGTACATGTCAAAAAACCTGGTGAGGAAGCTCTGGATTTAGTAATTTGTTTCTTAAAAAGATCTGATACCATGTGAGATGTGCATGTTCAGAATCATCTGGGCACCAGCAACCATACACCGTGTTCCAAATTATTATGCAAATTCTATTTAAGTGTCACAAAGAGTAAATATTTTGTTTTTCAGTTTAACTCATGGATAGCATTGTGTCTCAGGGCTCTTTTGATCACTGAAAACAATCTCGGACACCTGTGATAATTAGATTGGCTGCTGAGCCCAATTTAAGGAAAAACTACTAAAGGAGGGTGTTCCACATTATTAAGCAGAGCACCATTTTCAAGCAATATGGGGAAGAAAAAGGATCTCTCTGCTGCCTAAAAGAGTGAAATAGTTCAATGCCTTGGACGAGGTATGAAAACATTAGATATTTCACGAAAAACTTAAGCGTGATCATCGCACTATTAAGAGATTTGTGGCTGATTCAGAGCACAGATGGGTTTGTGCAGATAAAGGCACATTGAGGAAGATTTCTGCCAGATTCATGCATCGGATCAAGAGAGCAGCTGCTAAAATACCATTACATAGCAGCAAACAGATATTTGAAGCTGCTGGTGCCTCTGGAGTCCCACGGACATCAAGGTGTAGAGTCCTCCAGAGTCTTGCAACTGTGCATAAACCTTCTATTCGGCCACCACTAACCAATGCTCACAAGCAGAAACGGCTGCATTGGGCAGAAAAATACACAAAGACTAATTTTCAAACAGTCCTGTTCACTGATGAGTGCCGTGCAACCCTGGATGGTCCAGATGGATAGAGTAGTGGATGGTTGGTGGACGGCCACCCTGTTACAACAAGGCTGCAACGTCAGCAAGGTGGTGGTGGGAGTCATGTTTTGGGCCAGAATCATAGGAACAGAGCTGGTCGGCCCCTTTAGGGGCCCCGAAGGTGTAAAGATGACCTCTGCAAAGTATGTGAAGTTTATGACTGACCACTTTCTTCCCTGGTACAGAAGGAAGAACTATGCTTTCTGTAATAAAATCATCTTCATGCATGACAATGCACCATCTCATGCTGCAAAGAATACCTCTGCATCAATGGCTGCTATGGGGATAAAAGGAGAGAAAGTCATGGTGTGGCCTCCATCCTCCCCTGACCTCAATCCTATTGAGAACCTTTGGAGCATCCTCAAGCAAAAGATCTATGAGGGTGGGAGGCAGTTTACATCCAAACAGCAGCTCTGGGAGGCTATTCTGACATCTTGCAAACAAATTCAAGCAGAAACTGTCCAAAACTCACAAGTTTAATGGATGCAAGACTTGTGAAGCTGCTATCAAATAAGGGGTTCTATGTTACAATGTAACGTGACCTGTTAAAATTAATTTAATTTGATTGAAATAGCTTTTGATTTCAGTAAATATGCTGCAAACACAACAAATGACAATTTTCAGTTCTTTACAACCTATAAAGTGTTTTGAAACTTACTGTGCGTAATAATTTGGAACAGTGCATTGTAAGTTTTTTATGTTTAACAAAAATACTGTTATCATTAGGAGGTTTGTTCAATAAAATTTGAATTGTACTCTTAATAGTTGATAACATGAGAATTATGCTGACTGTTATTTACATTAATTATTTAGGTAACTGAGAAAAATATAATTTGCATAATAATTTGGAACACGGTGTAATGTTGAAATTCCATAAAGGGCCTACACAATCAAGTGCAGGAATTAAAAGTTTAAATGATTATGAAAAGCTCTTATTTCTGTAGACTGGAAAGATGTACTGGTAAATAAAGATGCTGAATTCAAATGGAAAATTTTTAAAACCTAATTTAAAAATTCTCTTGAATGTACAAGACTTTCAGCCCTGGTTCACACTGATACAAATTTTCGTGGTTTGACCATTCAAATCGTATACAATTATAGGCAATGGAACTGTGCTAATCGGTGTGACTCCGACTTCATAAAAAATATAAATGCCAGAAAATTGTGTGTGTGCATATACTTGTGTGTATGTGTGTATAGGTGTAGGAGTGCATATAAAAGCTGGATCATGTTTTATGAGCGAAATGACTGTTGTGTGCATGTCAGTTTTATATGCATTGTTCCAACTATAAAACCCCATTAATGATCTTTTAAAATGAAGGTAATGACATCGGAGCCATGTTGTTGAGATACATTTAATTAGCATGTAAAATGTAAGTGAAAGTTGCTTGCATAAATGTGTTTCTGGAAGCATTGATAATGTGTAATGGCTGGTAAAAATCCTATTAACATTTGTCTGTATCCACCTGGGGAAATGTCCCTGTAGACTGAGCTGAGGAACACTTTTATTGACAAGAGCTGTGTTCAATCAGACAGCATGCAGACTATATTGGCTAAGTGCATGTGGGGCAGTCTCTGACAGGTCTCTTGATACTCTCTAACTGCTTGTTTTTCTCATTCTGCCTGGGTGGTTGCTGTCATCTTTTATTAAAAGCTGCCTACTACATTCAGCATAGACAACAGTTTATCTTCCCAGGTGAGTTCACGCTTTAATCCTACTAACTGACCCTGTGTCTTCTCCTTCTCTTTTCTTCTGGCATGTTCTGCAGTCTCTAAGGGACAATAACAAGCCGGGATCTCACATTTGCAGTGATCAATTTTGTGACCTATACGGCTTTTTACATCTGAGCAACAATAAAAATAGAATGATGATTGGACGTGACATCAAAGGCTAATGTTAATAACGTTGTGGTCTTCTCTTTTGATCTGCATCAAATGGTGCTGCTTCTGATGTGATTGATATGTGTAACCACTTCTATACCTGGTGCTATAGGGGCTCTAAATATTCCCTGATGCATTAAAAACCTGTTACGTGTACAGTTGCTTCTTTACATTTATACAGCCGGAGTGCATCTTATTTTAGCAAGGCTTTAAATGATAGAATATTGTTATAATACTGTTCTTGCAGATAGAGGTCTATCTTTGTTGCATTATATCAGTTTTTATTGCATTAGAAGTGCTTCTTTCATCTTCTCCTATATACATTGTGTTAAGTGCTTGGAACCTTCAGTAGCTGCACTAGTAATATTCAGTTGTCTATAGCATTTAGACTGCCTTTAATATTAGCATGATGGAATATCAAGTGTACTACAAGAGCTGTCACTCTTTCTGGCTGCTTTTGTTTGAGGTGCTTGTAGCCGTATTACTGCACTTGCAACAGAAACATTTGTGTATGGTCTGTAATTTTTTTTTTTTTTATTTCCACTAACATCCAAATTTTTAGGACAAGCTTTCAGGGTATGCCCCCTACTTCAAGTTCCAAACAACAGAAAGGAGTGCAGGATCCAAGTTAGAATAAAAGCAACTGATTTATTAACAAAATTTATAGCACACTTACTGGTAAAATCTGGTAGATTAGTGTGGGAAGCAGGAGGCAGGACACAATGGAAAGGTGCTTCTTTTGACAGCTGTCAGAGCAAAATCCCTGTATGCCGGCTTTTAGATCGGGAGTTGCTGCTACTTCAGCTTAGCTTGGTTATATGTCTGTCCTGGTGCCCTCTGCTTCCCATGCTGATCTAACAGATTTTAACTGTAAGTGTGGTATACATTTTATCAATGAATCGGTTGCTTTTATTCTAACTTACGCACTCTGCTGTTTTTCTGTTGTTCGAGCTGCACTGGATCACCCCGGATGCCTTTGTGGAAGCTGCAGAAAGTGCATTATTCTTGGTTTCCTTGTGGCCTGGATGGAACTTTTTGGTGCCACGATTCTAAATACTGAAGCTGGGGCTTGTGGTGGCTGTGGTGGTTTGTGTATTTCCTTCTTCAAGGTCCAAGCTGCTTTTGTGTGTGCCGCCAGTCTAATGTTCGGTCTCTTTTAGTGTATTCCTATATACTTTTAGTTTTCATCTATAAATTTGGCTAGCTGGTGTAGAAGTTGTTTGGCGCAGAAGCTGAAAATGAAAGGTACATTTCAAAAACAGAGGATAAATAGGCATTCGATGTGATGGTATTTCCCCTGACCCACTCAAAAGTTTGTTCTGGTTCGGGATGTAAAAAAAAACTTTTTTTTTTTTAGAAAATGCTAGTTGTAGGCTATTAAAGTGACACTAACAATATCTTTGTTCTCCAAAAATAATTCATATACATTCACTACATTGTGGCTCTGTAATCTAATTTTTCATGAAATTGTTTCTTTGCTTTTCTATCTCCTTGAAATGCCGTCTTCTGGCTTCCGAACTGCTTCTTTTACCCCTCACTTTTTGTTTGGAACAAGCAATGCACATTAGTTGCAGTCATGTACACTGCTTTATGCACACTTCAAGTCCCATCTTGGGAGAGAGCATGAGGGTGTGACTACGTTCCTACATACAGTGAGACCATGGGGAAAGAATGTGGCCCTCTAACTGGAAGTTAGATCACAGCAACAGGAAAAAAAAAAAGGAATTTACAAATTTCGAGGAGGTGAGAGCTATAGAAGTTTATTTTTTTCAAAGTTAAAATGCATGCTGAAAAGGAATTTTTTTTTTTTTTTAACCAGCGTTTAGGCTAGGTTCACACTAATACGGTGTGGTACATTGCATGTGATTCGCACAGGAACCGCACTGCATTCCTGTGCAAATCACATGTGAATTCTTTGCGGTGCGATATGAGCCATACATTACGTATGGCTCAGATCGCACCGCATCTGCACCAAAAAGGTGCAGGACCCTTATTTGGGTCCGCAACTAGAATTAGATTGCACTGGTATTCACACATATGCGTTCTGATTCTGCACATCGCACTGCGTTTTGCGGACCAATTTCGGGGTGTTGTCGACATACACACTCGCAGCGATTCGGCATGCACGGAGTGCAATTCTGATGCGGTGCGGAATTTGCACAGAAAACACTGCGAATTCCACACCGCATCAGAATGAACCCGGCTAAGTGTCACTTTAATGAAGGGAACAATTGTTACATGATCAGCCCACTAGTTTATTGGTCGGTTGGAATAATTTTAACTTTGCCTCTTCAATAATGTTTGGTAATGTCTTATTACATTGTTGCATTGTGTAACGGGTAATTTCGAATTGCTGAATACTTGGCAGCATGTTTAAAAAGTTTTTATATACATAAATAAATAGCTTTTACAGTGGATAAACCTTTTTGTGCATGTTGCTGTGTGAACTTGTGTATACTGGATATTTATGTGTGGCCTTATTCAAACAGGCACCTATAATGCCAAGTGCTCATTGGATACAGACAGTCCAAACAAAAGGGTTATTGCATTTGTTATTGTTATTAGTTACAGTGTCTTAAGCCCTGTATACACGTTGAGAATATTGGGCCGAATGATTGTCCGTTTTTTGCATGCTAGTCTTATATCGAAAGTGAAGAGGTCACTAAAGTTATGAAAATTCTTGTATGACAGAATACAAATTCAGAAGTGATGTAATGTATTCTGTACTGGTTAAACAAAAATCGTATGATCTGGTATCGTACGATAAACGTTTTTGTGTTTGTCCCTTCGAGTAATTTCAAACGATTGCCGTGTACTAACGATCAGATTATCGTTTGATCGCTTTGAAAAAAAGTTTTTGTACGATGTTCTGATCGTGTGTACGGGGCTTTATATGGAAAAGATTGGCTTCCATCTCTAGTGCACCTAATTACATTTTACGAAGTACTGTGTTACAATCAAAAGCGATTTTGCATTATAAGTATTTTATTTTCTTTCATTCCCAGAAATACTGAATCCACCTCCGGTAACACAACCACCTGAGCCTCCTGAAAATTTAAGGTAAACAAATACAAATATTAGGAGGTTTGATTTACCAGAACTAGCAATTTGGCCTGTGTGGATGCATCAGCTATTTTTGAATATTCACATATTAAGGTTTTAATTAAAACATATTGCCTAATACGTGTCATCCTTGTAACTGTGCTTCAGATTAGATCCAAGTATTTAGTATTAACTCTGCATGTACAGACAGAATTTCTCAAAATTCTTAAGGTGCATTGACCGTTGCAAATGCACCCTGGCTGCAATTATATGCGATAACTTCAGCGGGGGTTCCTGCAATTAGCTACGAAAGGGCATTAAAAGCAATGGGAGGTCGCTGGCTCTCGAAGCTAATCACACCCAATTGCGTGTAATTTCTCATGCAGCTATCAAATGCAAGTGGGCGCCACTAGCTTCAGGAACCAGCAGCCTCCCATTGCTTTCAATGGGGCTGCCTCTTGCAGCTAATCATGGGAACCCCAGCTGGGGTTCTCGCATATAATTGCAGCCAGTGTGCATCCACATAGTGAAAAGTATACTTTATGGCTCCACTCCAAGCTATGGATGGAAAGGAAAAGGATCACCCCACCAACAAGTGAGAAGAGGGGAGCATGAGTCTGAGTGATTTCTGTGTCATCCAATACAAGTGAAGAAATGGACGCTGCTCAACCGTCCCCAGGTGTCCAATGTTGAAGAATGGCCTCAGCCGCCGTACTGGCCATGCCTTCACACGCGTTTTACCCCACCCACCGGGGCTTGGTCACAGAGGTCAGATCATTCCTCAACATTGGACTCTTGGGGTTGGTTGAGCAGCATCCATCCCTTCACCAGTGTGCATCCACAAGTGTCAATGCACCCGTAACCTCTATTTCTGTTATTTCTTTACCTCACCCAGAGGTCTTCAAAAACGTAAAGAATATGTAAACCCAACATTTCATATTCCTGATATGTGCCTGCTGTACCATGTACTTGTATGGAAAAGTATCCTTCTCTCTTTGTATTGCTTCCTTTGTGTGTAATCCCTGGTGCTCCTGCCAGTCCCCCTGCTTTCCTATTTAAAACTGATCACGCTAAGCAAGAAAATACACCGTGGTCAATTCTCTAGCTGTGCCGGGAACTCAGCCTGCTCTCCTCCAATGATCAGACTTCTGTTGACACCCCAGCAGCCATTCACTGGGAAGACCTGTGCACTGCTGTTTCCCCTCTCTGAGCTCCTTATGCAGCTGAGAACAGAGGGTATGGGATCACGTATGAAAAGGGGAGACAAAAGGTATTGATAATGTTTTTTTTATATGCATACAAAATATTTTGCCTTTTATTTTAGACTCGGTTGTTTTACAAGGTGAACATTTACATACACTTTAAGAAGTTTTTAAAGAGGGTCTTCTGCATTGTATGTGATATGTCCAGCAGCATTCTTAGGTTTACTGCACAGGGAATGTCATATTTCCAATTTCCACTGGCTAAAGGGATGCTGGATATTGCAGGGTTTCTTTTTTAGAATAATGAGATTAGCCATGTGATTTTACTGCAGGCAGATGCAGGGTCCTTTTTGGTACTAACTCTCACCAAGTCTACTGACATGGCCTTTCTTGGTCTTGCTAGTACAGAAACCAGTAGAGATCAGCAATGAAGCTTGAAAGGATTGTCAATAAAGCTTGATAAAATATTTGATGTAATGGATAATGTTTGTTTTTTTCTGTTAAAAAAAAATTGCTTTAAAAGTGTTCTTCAAGTAAGTATCGTCAAAAACAGGTACAAAACAAATACAGAGGCAATATTTTGCTGGAGTCAGGTATACACAATGTTGGAATTTTGTAGCAAACCAGTTGATCTCTAGGGGATACTGGACTCATAAAGGGGCTTCCCTAGGGGATATCAGACTCATAAAGGGGCTTCCAACAGTCCCCCCCCCAATTATCTTCATCTAAATTTGGAACATTAACTCCCCACGTTGACAGACAGTTCTGTAAGAGCCTGCTTGTTTCTGGAAGCAACTGCTTATAAATAGTCGATAAAGACTTAAAAAGCTCATCATTCCTCAATATAGATTCAAGTCTAGTTGACTGAATTGACAGCTGGCTTGTTCCAAACTGTTCATGGAAGGTGTGCTGGAATTGTATATAACGAACACTGGATAGCTGGTACAAACTTTTCAGCTCATCAAATGACATCAGAATTCCATCTTTTGCTACATCTTAGAGAAGTTTCACCCTATATTTGGCCCATATAAATCAAAATAGTTGAACTAATGAGTCAAGAATGGATTCTTCCATAGTGGTGCATTTGGGGATGTAGAAGTAGGGCCCTACTTGTAAAAAAAATATTGCTAACCTGTAAATGATTTTCCAAGCTCCAAAAACAGATTTCACGGAGAAGGTTTGTTGTTGCAGAGACTTAATTTCAAACCTATGTAAACTAAGTGGGACAAAGGCTCATAGGATCCGTCTCTCGCTGCTTCTAGAGATATTGCAGCATCATCTAGTGGAGAAGTCAACTTTCTATAGCCAAACAACAATTTGTCCAGCTAAAAAATATTTAGGAAAAGTTGTAATTATCAGTCCACCCCTTTTCAAAGCTGCTGTAGAACAGAAAGATGTTTATAGGGAAGAGCCCCCATAAAGAAAGAAGGTACTACTGAGTGACCCAAGTAGTTTAACTGAAACTATAGCTTTATTGCAACCATTAAAACATGACAACGTTGTCACTTTAAAAATTAAGGAACCCCTGGTAAGGTGTTATAAATTCTGTAGAACAGCTTAGTAGATCCTCGGTACACCTCTCTGCCAAAGAAAATCAGATATAAATGTATTTATTTGCATAAAGGTGGCTTTAGGTATCCACACAGGAGAATTTGAAGGACATATGTAAAAATAGGTAATATTTTCATTATCTTGGTAAGGTTAATTTTCCTAGTAAGAGAAAATAGAAGATTTCTCCAGGCATTCAACTTATGTTTAAGAAAGAAGGGAGAAATTTAGAGGAATAAAATCTAGCACAAATTTGGTGATCCAACGTATTCAATCTTGGTAACCCACTGCAATGGATCTATGGAGGAGTTTGGAATACAACAAATGTCAATAAGTGATGAGATTTTGGATTTGTTCCAATTGACATGCAAGAGTGAAGAAAAAAAACATTATTTAGAATGTTCAGGGCTTTTTTTAAGACGGAGTCTGGATTTTTGAGGAAAAGAACCAGATAATTGGCAATACAATGCTGTCTTCTCCTCCAAACTGCCTACTGATATGCCTTTGACACCTGGAGACATATGCAGTGCCAAAGCTATAGGTTCCATGATAAGAGAAAATAGCCATGGAGACCAAGGGCAGCCCTGTCTAGTGTCCCTAGACACCAAGAAGAATTGATACAAGGCCCCTTCAGTTTTTATGGCAGATACCAGATGGTTGTACAGAATATCAATCCACATTAGAAAAATCAACTCCAAACCTATCTTTTGCAGTGCCACATGCATATAGGCCTGATCAACAGAATCATAGGCATTTTCCAATTTTAAAAAGACCAAAACCCCATTAAAGGATAAGTTCACATTTGGGGATATGCTGTATGTTACACCCGTTTTTAGGGTGGAACATGTAACATGTCACTACTCCTGCAGCTTCTCAATTTACCCCCACTCCATTGTGACAGCTGGCTGGGGATCTTCTCCCCTCACCAACTGTCACAATTTGAAAAGAGCTTGGCTGTGCAGGGCTCCACCCACACGGACACATCATTTATTCACCGAGATCTGTGAATAAATGAACTACAAATACTGACAGCCTTTGCTGCTTAGCGGTAATTCAGTGAGTCTTCCTGTCATTGTTATCTGTCTGCCCATACAAGGTACAAACAGACAGATGCTCTGACAGTCTGCAGGAGCCTGAGACTTCACCTGAGATCTGCTGATTGTGGGTGCAATGCTTTCCAGGATCTTTAAAAAAAAAAAAATTAATGCACTTTTTTTTACCTGCACAAAAATGGGTATGTGTACAAAAATGGGTATTTTTTTTTTTTAGAAAGGTGAACTTATCCTTTAAATGAAAACATTTACATGTACCTTGTATTATTTTTTATATTAACAGATTTGAAATGTAGATTTAAACCTAACCATTTTTTAATTCCATCCCACTTATTTAAGTAAACTGCTTGGAGCAGCTAAAAAACGTAACATGTTGTTGTTGTTGTGATTCATTTGTCCTCCTCTCCATATTCACTGTGCTGGACTAACCTCTGTGTATAATACAGTAGAGCCTGGATGCCCTAGAGTTCTGACGTTTGCTCTCTCAGTCTGAGTGATGCTGTAAACAGGGGTGGACTGACAACTCATGTGGCCCCCGGGCAATAGGGGTCATGGGGCCCCTGTGTCTTTGCCCACACTCAAAACACACCCAAAAAAGCCTATTAAAATGGTAACGGGCATTTCATGGGGCCCCCTACTGACCCCGGGCCCTCGGGCAGTGCCCGAGTGCTCGAATGGTCAGTCCGCCCCTGGCTGTAAATGGAGATTATAGGAAGCTATTATAAGATTTTCTTAAAGCGTAATTCCAGTCAAAACTAAGCCTAAACCTGCTCCCACCCCCATTCTAAGCCTATTCTATCTACCTTGTAAAAAGGAAAGGTGCCTATACTTACCTATTCTGAAGTCGCTCTGGTCTGGTTACATAATGAGGTCCCAGCACCAGGTTCAGTGTAAAGGAGGGAGAGCCAACAATGGCTGCCCAATAGTAAGGCTATGGGTGATGTCATCACCCAGGCTCTACAGCCTTTGTCACTGACTCTGCTCTCTCTGAAGCCGCCACTGGAGAGATCATGCAACCGGACCAGAGTGACTTCAGAATTGCCGGCACTGGAGAGATCATGTGACTGAACCACAGTGACTTCAGAATAGAAAAGTATAGATTTCTTTCCTTTTACAGGATAGATAGAATAGACATAGAATGGGGGGTGGGAGTAGATTTAATCTTAGTTACATTTTGACTGAAATATGTATTATAATTTTTATGTTTACATACATGTTATATTTTTTAATGGATTAAACTGTTTTAATATAGTATGTGCCACTTTAAGATTTGTGTTAGGTAATTGACTTGTATGAATATACTGTATAAAAACTTTTCAGAAATATTAAAGCAGAAAGAACGTGTTTTTTTTATGCAAACACAATTTTTGACCTGGAAACTTTTCAGTTCAAAAAATACTTAGTCCTGCTTTGAGAATTCTTGTTTTTACAGTAAGAAAAAATTCTTAACAAATAAAATGTTTTTTTTTTTCCTAGTGCTGAAGCCGAAATGGAAACGGATGTAGCAGAAGAGCAGGAAGCAGAGGTATATTATATTATGCACAAGTATATTAGTCTGCTAACAGTTGATTTGAAAGCTTGCCACTAGAGGGAGCTGCAATTCTGTACATACTTGGATACAGTGTCTTTTATTGTACTTTTAAAATTGTAATTATTTCATAAACTTCATGTAATGGCACCACTTTTTCCAAGGTATCAAGTGCTACCTTTTGTTAAAGGGCCCTTCATTTGAACAGGCTCTCCAATAACACTGCCTCGCTCTGCAGGTAGAAAACTGTTTGACGTAGATATATACTCTTAACACCGTATTTACGGTATTTATTATTTATTTCAGGTACTTTACTCAGCACTTTACATATATATTTTGTACATTCACATCAGTCCCTAACCCGCAAGGGGCGTACAATTTAAGGTCTCTAACTTACATTCATACATACACATACTAGGGCCAATTTAGACAGGATCCAATCAACCTACCAGCATGTCTTTGGAGTGTGAGAGGAAACCGGAGTACCCGGAGGAAACCCACGCAGGCACAGGGAGAACACGCAAGCTCCAGGCAGGTGGTGCCATGGTTGGGATTCGAACCAACGACCCTAGCAATGCCAGGTGGAAGTGCTAGCCACTGTGCAGCACCATTGGGTATAGAATGTAATGAGGGTGATTTACTAAAACTGCATGGTGCTAAATCTGGTGCAGCTCTGTATAGAAACCAATCAGCGTCCAGGTTTTATTGTCAATGCTTAATTGAACAAGCTAAAGTTAGAGCTGATTGGCTACCATGCACAGCTGCACCAAATTTTGCACTTTCAGTTTCAGTAAATCAACCCCATTGTTTCTGTTTCAAGGTGCCAAATTAAAATAAATTATACAATTTCAGGAAAATATTTTGATATTCACTTAGCTACTTTAGTATGCCTGTTTTTAAAACGTGTCTGCATCTGAAATTGTGTTAAAGGCCTCCTTCCTCCGCCAGTCCAAAATAATTTAATATAATAAGAATGGGCAGAAAGATAAACTCAGTAAACTATATTTGTACTCTAAAATACCTGTAAAAATACATACACAAATAAACTCTTGTACAAAATGATGTGATATGGCATATACTGTTAACAGATGTATCATTTAACCTACCTCATCATTTACACATTTCATGTGCTTGCTGTCTATTTTTTTTCTATTCCTTTTCTTTTTTACATTAATATACTTTTCTGTATTGTACTATTCAAAAGTGCCTTGTTTTTGCTGAAAGTTCTATTTGAAAATGTACTGTTGTTTTACAGTCTGCTTTTATACAATAAAATCGTTTGTAAACAAAATGATGTGATATACTACTTTAAACAGTGCTAATATTCTTATTGTACTCCCCACCCAAATAAAAGTCCTTATACTGTGCCAAGTAACTAAACATATAATGTTAGATACAAGTGAATCTTGTATAAACAATTGCAGTCTCTTATTGTGCAAATGTGGCATTCTTCTTAGCAAAGTGCAAAGTTCTTGGTGCTCCCCACCAGTGGTCCCATTCACTCCATGACTTTCATGGACTCTTAATATTATCTAAGAATCTATCACGCTTATAGAAGTTCAGCTGGGACTTGCAGTCCTCACCAGGGGCGGACTGACCATTTGGAAACTCGGGCACTGGGCCCGGGGTCGGTAGGGGGCCCCATGAGATGCCCCTGGTACCTTTTTCATAGGCTTTTTGAGTTTGGGCAAGGACACAGGGGCCCCATGATCCCCTATTGCCCGGAGGCCCCATGAGTTGTCAGTCCGCCCCTGGTCCTCATTGCCAATCTCCTCTTCCGGTGATGATGGTTATCAGCTCATCGGTCACAGTATTATCATTCATCTATCAAAGGAACCTCCAGTGAACAATCATGTACAGGGTAAGAAGCTGTCAGCACAGAGGCCTGGCCTGGCACGATGAGGAGGCCTAGTCGAAAATAGCTTGATTGGCTGCCTTGGAGGTTTCCCAGGAGGATGCTTAGTATCTAATAAAAGGCAATGTGTTTCAGAGGCCACACTCCCTTTTCAAGGCTTTTTCGGATCGCTGCTTTCAATTATTTTCCTTTTTCTCACAATTGTCGAAATTTCAAGTTTTAATTAGTATATCACATTATTTTGCACAATAGAGTTTAGTTGTGTATGTATGTTTACAGTGATTTTTGTTTATATAGTTTAAACAGGCAGCACTTACTCTAATTATTTCAACATTTTTAAGGGTCAGAACCAGGGGTGGACTGACTATTTGGAAACTCGGGCACTGCCCAAGGTCAGTAGGGGGCCCCATGAGATGTCCCTGGTACCTTTTTTGAGTTTGGGCAAGGACACAGAGGCCCCATGATCCCCTATTGCCCAGGGGCCCCGTGAGTTGTCAATCCGCCATGGTCAGAACCCTTTGTAGAAGCAGCAGCCAGTTGTATATGTGTAGCACATTCATGTAATAAGAAAGGTGGAGATCCTAACATGGGACAGTAGGCTTTAAATTATATTTGTACTCTGCCTTGCCCCAACTGCTTGCACGCATCTAAAAGTACCAGCAGTAGGTGTTTCATAAGTAAACCATAAACATTCTTTGCTGGGTCAATTGGATGATTTATTTGTTTTTAAAGACATGATGGAGCTAAATAGATGGTAACTATTACATACAAAGTTATTAATTCCTCTCTCCTGCCTTTTAGGTAGGTTGAGTTTGGCCATATATAAAGCAAACACAAGAGGGCGCCTCCATTTAGGTGTAGAGATTTATTGAAAAGACTAAAATACAATAAAAATGCACTCCCTAAATAAAAGTGGATTAAGGCTTGTCATAAACCCAAATAGACCTCCATAGGATGACCGTGAGGCTGCAGAGCTCGGCAGGCAAGCGGCTGGTTGAAGCAGAGTTCATTTGGAAAGCTGTTCGTGGTCAGGCTTCAGGCTAGAACATAGGCACCAGCAGCTTCCAGGTGTAGCAAGATGGCTACAGCTTCAATCAGTACCTCTGATGGCTGGGTGATGATGACAGGAAGGTTAGCAATGCAGCATTGCCCCTTTCCACTTCATGTCATCATCACCCATTTTTATTGTCTATATATTTCTACACCTAGATGGAGGCGCCCTCTTATGTTTGTTTTATATATGTGCATTTTATATATGTGCATTAGGATCTCAAGACCTAATCTGAGAGGAGCTGTATTCACTTCACTTAGTGCTCCTACCACTCTCCTGGCCCTCCTATGTGCCCTGTTAAATTATGGTTGGGGTCTAATCAGTGCAGTAGCTTATTTATTTTCTTTGGAGTTGGGCCATATATTTTTTTTATAGAAATGCAGATTTATGCCTCTGGTAACTGCTGACTTCTCTTAAATTGGTTGCTGCTAAAATGTAGATTAGAACTTGAGCTTGTACAAGATTGTCTTTCAATGCAGTTTTATTATTTGGTTTTTAAGAGTGTTATGAACATTTGTTTTTAGCAGGTTGAGGAGCAAGAAGCCAACAAATCTGAGCCAGAGTATGATGATGATGAAGTGGATGAGCTCCCTACATCAAGGTCCACCAGTGGTACATTCAGAGGAATGATTTTCCGCAAAGCCAGCCAGACTAGTGTATACTTACAGGAATGGGACATACCCTTTGAACAAATTGAACTTGAAGAACTTATTGGTCAGGGAAGGTGGGGAAAGGTATACAAAGGCAAATGGCATGGGGAGGTAGCTATCCGGATGTTGGAAATAGATGGAAATAACCAAGACCACCTTAAATTGTTCAAAAAGGAGGTGATGAACTACAGGCAGACGAGGCATGAAAATGTGGTGCTCTTCATGGGGGCCTGCATGCACCCGCCACACTTGGCCATTATTACTAGGTGAGTGTTCCTTCATTACATTGCACTGAATAATATACCATTTCCTGATGAACGAACATTTCGATATATTTTATTTTGTACACTATTTAGTATGTATACATTTATCAGTTTTCACAAGTTCATTTAAAAAATTGAATGAATTAAATAGCAAACATCATGTAAGAATATGTAATAAGCCACCATTAGCAAATAATACAGCAATTATGTTTCATTGTTCTGAATGCTTGTTTGCACTTTATATATCATCCATTTGGTCTTTGGTCTGAGTATAGAGTAAATATAAATATAGAGTATAATTTAACCCTGAACTCTGCACCCTACATTATTTGTGGATGTTGTGCGTCAGATGTCTGTTGCAGTGTTGTACGGAATTAGGAGCTGTATCGCAATGAACTAAAACATAATTCACAAAGAAACAGTGTATAAGATTCATAGAAAGTTACCAGTTGTGTAGGAAAGCGTATTATGCCACAGATTAGGACATAAAAGGGCTCATAGGTGATTGTTTACATTGCTTTTCATTAATACAAGGTGATACAATGGCCCTTGTTTTAGCCCATGCATATCCTGTGCTTTCAGTTCTACATTTAGGGCCAATTCACACCAGAATGTGGTAGGGGAAATCCACACTCTGTGTTTTTTCCCATGCTACATTCAAAACACACTGCTGTTATGATCTGCAGCGGGTGTCAATGTTGGCTTAATGACGCCCCCAAATGCAGGTCCCAAACACAGTGCGTTTGCCTGCACCATGTAAAGTAGTACCATGTGATCTGGTTCCTGTGTGCTTTATACATTAGTGCATGCACTACTTTTGGTGCAGTCTGGCGGGATTTCAGCCCATTAAAATGAATGGACTGAAACTGCACTGCACCCAGATCGCATGTGAATCGCTTTTATTTGAAAAGCCTCATTGTAATCCTGCAATTGATTATGATCCCAAAGTGTTTGGGACCTCTTTGCCATGCTTGAGATCACAAACACCTGCAGGATAACACTGAGGTGTTCCAGTTTTCTTTGACGTTGCTGAAAGACTTGGACTCTGACCAGCAACTGAATGTTTTTTATAATGTCTATTACAAACCATTAACTCCTCAAGAAGTTGGAAATTTTTTATGAAACGCGTTGAACGTTTTTCTCCAGTAATGATGCGATCATGTGAGACTGTGTTCTCACTGTTTAGAAGATTAAACAGGCAACATGGGGAACATCAGCATGGTGGTGTAAGACATTTTACTGTGTGGTTGTGAGTCTTGCTGTATCAGGTTTAATTGTGTACAATTTTTTTTGACTGTTCAAATAAGAGTAGTTGATTTTTATTACATTTTATGTACTTTATTACTCTTTTCGTGCCTAAAAGTTCCTTAAAAGAGAAGTATGGGATGGCTTTATTTTTTTCAAAATCCTTCTTACCTAGGTGGATGCACCATCGGTCCCCGCCGTGTGAGAACTCAACAATCACCTGACTGCTGTGTTCTCACTGCTGCTCTGAGGAGAGAGTGGTGACTGTCATTCACCGTTGTCTGCTCTGCCCCCCCCCCCCCCCCCCCCCCAGTGCTCACTGGAGCCTGGGCAGTGGAGGGGAGGGAGCGGCTGGCTCAGGCTCTCGGCAGGTCACTGTGAGGCTGAGCCAAGTGCCACTCTTGACTCTGGGGTGGATCCCGACTTTAAAGTTGGGATCTTCCCCAGCATGGACCTGCTGAGTGATGTCAGCTGACAGCAGGCTTCAGCCCGCTATCAGCTGAAAACTGGACACAGGAGTGAAGAACGAACTACACTCCTGTGATCCACAAGAGAAGTACAGCCAAAAGAGCTTTCCTATTTTAACCTTTCTCTCCTATATATCACTGGGATTAGTTTTAATTAAATATTACATAACAGGAATGATCTGTTCTTGAATTGTAAAGTCTGGTAGTACAAAAACCAAATTGACTTATCATAAATAGTTGAGATAAACCATATGCAGTAATAATATTTTACTTTTGAGGTGCACTTTGCAGCATTACATTTTTGATATTTTGTTTCAGTTATTGCAAAGGGAGAACACTGCATGCATTTGTAAGAGATCCCAAGACCTCCCTGGATATCAACAAAACACGACAAATTGCACAAGAAATCATCAAGGTAAGCACAGTATGTAACTGTGTGCCTGTCAAGTGTCTTTTAATGTAACAAAATGGATAATAGAATTTCAGTACATTTTATGACAAAAGTTAATAATCAATAACACTCACACCAGTCAGCATCTTTCCAATTCCTTCCAGTATACGACCACACTGCTCCTCCGTGTGGGTATGTGATTACTCTGCGTAATCTCCATGCTCCTCCTCTAAAAAATCCTCCAATTGTATCCAGCTGCCATTTTTTTCATAAACTAAAATGAGTTTTAGACTAATCTAGTGTTTTAAAGTGTTATGATAAAAATATATACAAATACAATTCATCTACGTATATCAAATACTCAATGTGTCTGCTGTTTTGATTTTTTTTTAACGGTTGCGGGAAGAGTGGGTGCAATTTTAGGAAGAAGTTTTAAAACTTTTTTCTTTTTTGGTAGGGTAGGGTTAAAACAACTAAGTTTTTTGCCATTCATGACTTTTTTTACTTCCTGTCCTGTAGTTTCAACAGGAAGTGAAAGGATGTCTTTGCAATATGAAGGAATTTCCCTCTTAGACAATGTCATGGGAACAAGCATCCCCATTGGATGATATCCCTTCTATCCATGTTCTGTTGGCAACTCAACATTTGCGATTTACCCTCACTTTTATTCCTGGTGACACTGAGAGAGTTAATCTTCTAAATGGAGACAGACAAAAATACCCCTTATCACTCTATTCAAAAGCGTCATGCCTTTAGTTACACTTTAAAGCGGAGCTCCACCCAAAAGAGGAAGTTTAAGGCCTCTTCCCCTGCTCCCCGTTAAGGATTCGGTACCTTGGGGGAGTGGGTACCCGATTTTGACCGTTACCCGCTCCCACTTCCGCTGCGATCATCTGGATGATCAGAAGTGGAAGTTGTCCTCCCCCCTTCCTTCCTGTAGTCTTCTTGGACACGTGACAGGTCCCTGAAGACTACAGGACCATTCACAAGGCACAGCGCTACTTGCAACTGCGCAGTGAGCACCTGGCTGTGAAGCCGCAAGTTGTCATAGCCGAGTGCCAACACTTAAGATGCCGGCATCAGAGAGTGAGGATGGCCAGTGAAGCCATCTGCAGTGAATGCAGGTGAATGTCTGCTTTTTAAAAGTCAGCAGCTACAGTTTTTGCTTACAGTTGAGCTGCTGACTTTTATTTTTTAAAATTTTGACTGTAGCTTCACTTTAAGGCAATAGATGTGAGCACAAAGCATTTTAAAGCGGTAGTAAACCCAAAACCAATAATGTAATGTATTGCAGCTTAGCAATAGATGTTGTGGCTGCATTAGTTTTTTAAGCTTTTTTTCCTCTGTTCTCACCTGGTGGTGTGGCCAGTAACACACCTCCTGTTTTAGAGTGCCCGCATGCTGGATGAGTAAACACAGGGGGCACCTTTAGATAGCAGCATTGTCAGTCTAGGCGGAGGAGAGTATTAGATATACTAGCAGATTTAGATACAACAACAATTTAAACCCAAACTCCTGCTAACACTTTATGACACTCCAGCTCCTTTTAAATGGTTTATCTCATCCCTGCAAACTGATACATCTGGAAGAGAAAAAACAGACTTATTAGACAGATCACAAGATAAAAAATAGGAGAAAGAAAACTAATGCATCCACTACATCTAAGAATTTGCAATATTATAAATGTTTGCTTTTGGATTTAATACTTCTTAATGCCTATGCCTACCACATTGCAGCAATGTGAATGGACCCCAGAAATAATCAGTCGTGTTAAGGATTTTCCCATGCCGACAGGTCCATATGAAGCAAGGATAGCACAGTGGCTAAGTGGTTAGCACTTCCGCCTGGCAGTACTCAGGTCGCCGGTTCAAATCCCAACCATGGCACCACCTGCCTGGAGTTTGCATGTTCTCCCTGTGCCTGCGTGGGTTTCCTCTGGGTACTCCGGTTTCCTCCCACACTCCAAAGACATGCTGGTAGGTTAATTGGCTTCTATTTATATTGGCCCTAGTATGTGTATGTATGAATGTGAGTTAGGAACCTTAGATTGTACGCCCCTTGAGGGTTAGGGACTGATGTGAATGTACAATATATGTAAAAGCGCTGCGTAAATTGATGGCGCTATATAAGTACCTGAAATAATAAATAAGTAGGAGAGCATTTTTTTTTCTTCATAGTGTTTCCCCCTAATCCATAAATTGGATCTGTTTGAGGAATAATAATAATTATTATTATTATTATACAGGATTTATGTAGTGCCAACAGTTTGCTCAGCGCTTTACAATATAAAGGGGGACAATACAGATCAATACAAGAGGGTTAGGAGGTTCCTTCTCCTTGGAGCTTGCCACAAGGGGCATATTTATTAAGCAGAAAATCTGCTGTACAGCAAACATTCTCTGAAGGTAAATCTTCCAGGTCCATGTGTTTTTAATTAACAGTGATTCTCCCTTAGAGAATGTTTAGTGAAAATCACATATTCACTGCTTTATATATAGACTCCCCCCCAAGTGTCAATGCTAAATAGGTCGGTTTTTCTCTTACCTATGTGCCTGATCTCTGTGTGGGAGTATTCGTGACAAAAGGCTATTTGCTGCAGTTCATATTTTATGGATCCATTTGTAAAGCTGTTATCATGTAAATAAAGAATTCTTCCCATGCTGCAGTCTTTTTTTTATAGGGCGTTTACAAAATAACACTAGTATATTGATAATAAGATGGGCTTGAACAGTGCATTTGAAAGTGTGGCCATAAACCTGATTGTCTTATGGCCTTACATTATTTACTTACGGCTATTCAACCAAGGTTTTCCTGGATGTGTTAGTGGTGGACAAGGCCACAATGACACAACTTGGTTATGAAAAGCCAAGCTTATATGGGTTTTTTTTTTTTTCTGTTTTCCAATTTTTTAAAAAACCTTTTCTGCAGCTGTCTTTAGGTGAATGCATGCACCGGCTTTTGGCTGTAGTACCACTGGTCGTAAAAAGTTTTATTTTGTCATTAAATATTGTCATAGATCCTGGGTAAGAGGTAAGCTACTTTTATAGGTTAAAGATATTTGTTGTAAGCCACTACATTCATTGAGAGCCTTGCTGGCCATCTGGTATCTCTGATAAACATCAGTAGAGCGGATATGCTTAAAAAAGCTTTCAAACCTTTGGCTGTCTGTTGGTTGCTTTGTCTCCAGCACCCCTGACTTAAATGAAATCTGAAGAGAAACGTGGAGGCTGCCTTCTCCTTCCGAAAATTCCAGTTGCCTTGCAGTCACTGTGATCCTCCTGCATCAGTACTTTGAGTCACTGACCTACAACAGGTGTGCAGATTGGGAGTGCATTTTTTTTTTTATTTTCCAGATCTGCATATTTGTTCTAGGTTAGCAGCTCAAAAAGTAAGGATGCCATTGGGTTGGCAAAACAAGCAGGCAACTAGCATTTTCAGGAAAAAGTTAATTATTATTATTATTATTCAGTATTTATAAAGCGCCAATAGTTCGCTCAGCGCTGTACATTACAAAGGGGGACAGAACATGTGACAGAACAATACCAATACAATGCAAAACATGAGGGGATTGAGGGCCCTGCTCTTTGGAGCTTACAATGGAAGCTCCATATGACCAAAGCTCTTTTTGCTGTACTTCCCCTGTTCTGCACTCCTGTGACCCACATTCAGTGAACAGCAGACCAAAGTCCACTGTTGGCTGATGTCACAGAGCCAGTCCAGGCTCTGCAGGGATCCCTACAATAGTGTCTGGACCCACCCGGATGCTTGACCAGCAGCTGGCTCAGTCTCTTAGTGTGCCACTGAGAGCCTGAGCCAGTCGCTCCCACCGCCTGCACAGTCCACCGCTTCAGTGCTGGAGGGCAGAGCTCAGAGCGGACCCACGAACTGAGCAATCTGCAGTCTTTGATTGCTCAGTTCTCAGTGTAGAGCCAGAGGGGGACATATGCAGCATTGGATCAATGCTGCATTCACCTAGGTGAGTATATACTGTATGTTTATTTTGTTGAAATATCACACTTCTGTTTTATTGGCAGGCCTGCTTTAAACACTAGGGTTTTTTTCCCCCCAATTTTCTGCCTGGCTGTAATTCACAGTTAAATTATTAAAGAGTTATGACTCCAAAACGAATCTTTCCATTTTGGCCTGAGGACTGAAATTACTATTCTAGGGAGTAAAATAATTTGGTAAACTGATAACCTGCCCAGGAAAGCCATGGTGAAAATGTCAGAAACCCTTTTGTTTTCTTCAGGATTCTCATAATTTTTCATGAGAATCCTTTTCATTGAGAAATTCAGTGAGTCTCTAAGAGGGACTACAACCACAAATTCCATTCTGAGCAAGCTGTCATCTTGAAAACTAAAGCTGGTTTGGTCTCTCTTTTTCTATGCCATATCTTGGCTCAGATCTGACCAATTTTAATGTAGTCATTATTATTGTCTCAGTTCGGAAAGATTATCAAATTAGGGGGTAACTGCCTCCCAAAATCTGAAGGTGAGTGATTTTAAATATTTGATATATGGCGCTTCAGTCCACTGGTATATGTCCGTGTGGACTGAAAAAGTAAGGTAACCGTTTCGTGTTTTAATGATGAAAGTGAAAAAACACACTAAGATAATGCAAGTAAACGGAGTCCATATTACAGAAGTGTTAATGCTGCATTTTTGTTGCACAAACCTTTCTTCAATCTGAAGGTTTTTTGAAGAAAAATACGTCTAATATCAATTAGCAGTTGGTATAGATATAGATAAGATACTCTTTCTCTCTCATTACATTTGTTTAAACCTAATACTGTATGATTCTGTGTTCTTTCAGGGTATGGGCTACCTGCATGCCAAAGGCATCGTCCACAAAGATTTGAAATCCAAGAATGTTTTCTATGAAAATGGAAAAGTAATAATCACGGACTTTGGCTTGTTTGGCATTTCGGGAGTTGTACAAGAAGGAAGGTGAGAACTCCTCAAATCAGTGAAGGATCTAAAAACATTTTCATGTCCAAAAGTGGCTTTATATTACTAATAAAGACCTATAGGTGGTGAGACATCTGCTTACCCTAAAGTCCCGTAGGGCTTTCACCAATTGCCTATTCTCAGCTAATGAAAAGAATTGGAGCAATTCTTTGGTTGGCTTGGTTGTGTTATGCCTGATTTCAATGCCAAATGCATTACGCAGTTCTGCATAAAGTAAAGTAGTAGCAATAAAGTTAAAGCAGAAGTAAACTGCATTAAAGAAAAAAAAATGGTACCCCAGTAGACTCATGTCATAATGTGCTAGTATGCACTGCATACTAGCACATTATGACAGACTTACCTAAGAAACGGATCCCTCCAATGGCACAACAACATCTGCCCTTTCACCATCTTCACCTGGTCTTCCTTCCGGGTTCACAGGTTCTGGCCGTTTGAATGTGTGCGCACGGGAGTCATGGCTGCTGCATGAGGTATTTACTGTGCCTACAGGTAAGCCTTATTGTAGGCTTACCTCTAGGTACAAAAAAAGAAAGGGAGTTTACTACCACTTTTAAAATGGAACACCACACAACATGTTTGAAGTAGAGCAATGAAAATCTGATATGTGATTCATCTCTGTAGCCCCTTCTGCTTTTCTGAAGTTGCCTTCTGTTTCCAGTCTCATTTGTAGTAAGTGCTAAGCACATAAAAGTCTTTAGGAAATCACTCTTGCTGAGAGACAGCAAGTTGGTGGATGGTAGAGAACTGAATCTGAAAGCCTACAATGAAGGATTTTCTTTGTATTATATGCTGGAAAATACTCTTTTGACAAAAGAAACTTTAGACATGATCATAAATGGCTATTTCACTAAAAGATTATAAATAAGATATTAAAGTGTGCCTAAACAAAAATGTAATTACATTTTTGTCCTTTGATGTGATAGCTGCATTAGTTTTCTTTTTTTCAGTTTTTTTTTTCTTTATATTTTTGGTGATCCTGCCAGTAACACACCTGTCTTCAGGGGACTTAGTCACCATATTGTAAATATGGAGAAGTAGTGCTGTCACCCTAGACCAGGATTACAGAACAGGATCTTCCTCTCTGTATAACAAGAAAATGATTTTCTCTCGTTTACAGTAGTAACACTGCTGAGCTTTCAATGCATTGTTCTCAGCTCATTACAGGAGGAGCTCACTAGTCTTCTACTAGGAGCAACAAGTATTTTTCTGTACTTGCAGTATTTGTAAAGTAACATAAAATGGGGAAATGTGCTTTTATTAGAGAGGTGTATTGTTTTTTTGCCCATATATACACTTAAATGTTGGCAGCTGTGATCACTTGTTGCCCGTTTCATCTAATTAAATATATTTGTGATAAATGTGTCAATATTGTGACATGCGCTACTAAATTGTTTCTGGTTTTCTCTCTGTTAGACGTGAGAATGAGTTGAAGTTGAGCCATGATTGGCTGTGCTTCCTGGCCCCAGAAATAGTACGTGAAATGGCTCCTGGAAAAGATGAAGATAAGCTCCCATTTTCCAAAGCTGCTGACGTTTATGCTTTTGGGTGAGGTTAAATGTTATGTGTGAGTCATCTAAAGCCTGGTTTTGTGTAGAGTGTCACATGATTGTACTGACTTTGGTCACATGGCAATGATCTGTTGATGTGTATCTAAACCCAAGGACAGTCATGTAAAATATTCCAGTTTGCCAGGCCTTTTTTCTTTATTTTCAACTGGTGATAACACACTATCTGTCCTAGGGAGACAATGCTCACCATATTTGTTCTGTTTAGAAGCAGTGTTTTTTGCCTTAGGACAAGACTACAGAAAACATTCTGTAACATAGATAAGAGGTGCATTGAAGATCACAAAGATAGCTGGGATGGATGCTAACTGATAGGAATACAGCACAGGCAGTGACCACAAGGAATTATTAGCTCAAAAGATTCAGAATCAACTGATTTTTTTTTTTCTTTTTTCCAGTCAAACTATTATAATAAAATGCTTCCAGTGCTATATTTGACAAATAAACTAGCAAAAAAAAAGTAACATTTTAGTGTTTACATACTTTCTAAGCTCAGTTTTTGCTGTTTTCTTTGTTTATATCATCACAATACAAAACTTAACAGTTGTACCAGCAAAATCAAAAGCACTTATTAGCAATCTAACGAGAAATATAAATAATGTGATGGAACAGCAAATATCTATTGTGGTATTTATTTATTTCAGGTACTTATATAGCGCCGTCAATTTACGCAGCGCTTTACATATATATTGTACATTCACATCAGTCCCTAACCCTCAAGGGGCGTACAATCTAAGGTCCCTAACTCACATTCATATACAAGGGCCAATTTAGACAGGATCCAATTAAGCTACCAGCATGTCTTTGGAGTAATACACAATTTACAAAAATTCGTAGAAAGGGGAAGAGGAAAACAAATATAAGCTACCGCATGAACATGCAAATCACCAAACCCCTTCTACAAATAGAACAAGTTGGGTAATGAATCATTGCTCTTATGATATAGGTCACATTGGTTGATATTTTAAGCTGGGAATAGGACTAAAAGTTGGGTGGGAGAAGAAGGGAGGATGGTAGTAATTGGAATGAGTGGTGGAGGGAAAAGAGTGGTCAGTTGAATATTCAGCTTGGCCTCCCACCTATGTAAGAAAGGAGGGTAGTATTCCCCATCTGGCTGTTATATCAAAGTATAAACAGTTGAGAGAGAGTGATGGGAGGGTTTCCCTGCATGATATAGTTATTCAATTGCCATGAGTGGTTGGAATATTTAACGTTGCTTGGAGACAGCCACTAGAAAGTGTCTTAACTGTTGTACACTCCAGAAGTCCAGAGGAGGGTCAGATAGGCTACAGTTATTGCTGTTTAATACATCATTCTGTAGAAGGTAAATGGCAACTTCACCCTTTTTAAAAAAAAAATGTGAAAAGACAGCAGCTACAAATACTTTTGTGCTGCTGTCTTTTTAAACATCAGGTACTTACCAATCTCTGGAGTCCTTTGGAGTCTTCCTGCAGCCAGTGCTGGTCACCACTGTGGGTCCCAGTCATGATCATCTTGGATGTACGAGCTGGCTGGGACTTCCTGAGGAATTGCAGTCGGCTTCCTGCTGCTTATGCGCAAGATTGTATGTTGTAGTGAGACTGCTCCTGCAGCCTCCTGGAATGTATGATGTGTCCCAGGAGGCTGCAGGTGGGGAGGGGTAGGATGGGCAATGCCATACTCGCCTAGGTGAGAACTGAGGAAGTAGGAACCTTCAAATGTGTTAGGGGCAGGGGTGGGATTGAGGATTAGCGGCATTTCGCTTTTGATTGAAGGTTCACTTTAAGTAAAATGTCTTCCTTTTTTCTGCATGTATTTTATCAGGACATGTTTTTTTCTATTTGTCATTATGATAATCATTTATTTTTCTCTCTCTCCATGCAGTTGCATGCCTATTACAACACCACAGCTTACAATTATAATGTGTAGAATATGTACTGCACTGTGCAGAGGGGATGGTGGTCAGTTGTGCTATGTGTCTGAAGCTCTTACACCTTACAATTCTTGTACTATAAACTTTAATCTTACCACACCTATGTAACTTTTAGGCCTTGTTCACATGGCCATGCTTCTGCATACACCTGTGTGAGGGTAGTGTTTTCATACATGGGGATGCACAAGTGTTTCTTGCATCCCCATGAAGACAGTCCCATTACCGTCAGTTGTGCACGGACACAGCTGCTGCTACCAATTTGGTATCAGTGTGTGTGTGTGTGTCCCCTGAACACAACAGTATGTGTTGGGAGTACACACACCCGCACCCACATGGATGTCAGATTGAGAGCAGCGGCTGTGTCCATGCAGCGACTGCGTCCCAATTAACATGAATTGGGGATGCACGGAACCACATATGGGTGTAAGCATGCTCATGTGAATGAGGCCTCAGACCTACTTAAACTGTTCATCCAATTTGTATCTGTAATGGTCTGAGAAATATTTGTCTTGGGCTTTACAGCAGTCGTCAAGTATAAGCATGTATACAAATAAAAGTGTAAGCAAAAGTATCCTTACTGGCTAAAAGGTATTAAAAGGTGTGTAGGGAGTTAATGAGGGTGATATGTACAGAAGAAAACAGTGAATTTAGTACATAAAAATGCATGCAGTCATACCAGATCTACGCCCAGCTAACCAAAGTATGTACTTCAAAAAAATTAGACCTTGAATTTTAAATGCAGCATCTGCATTTAGTTTCTCCCTCTGCCCTTTTGTGAAAAACAGAATAAACAACAAAAAACACTTTAATGGGGGAAAAAAGTTAGCTTGTATACATACCTTTCGCTTGGCGTCCTCCTGCTGTTTTTACATGTCATACTCCCTTTTCAGATCTGCAAAATGTAAAAGAGAACTCTTAAGACTACATTCACACTGACGATTGAGGTGGATGTGAATTATAACAGCAGAAATCTTCTGATTTCCACTATGGCTCTGAGTTGCTAAGTGCGACCGCCGGCCCCATTCAGTATAATGACAAGTTGCCAGACTCTGGAGCATCAGTTAGAAAATGACAGTCTACACGTGTGCAGCTGTTGCTGTGCTGTCTCATCAAGGAAATCAGAAGACTTAGAAAAAACAGTGTCATGGAAGCACTCTGTAGTAAATGTTTATTTTTAAAAATGTAGCTTTGTTTCATATTCAATCAAAATATAATAATAAAGTGACTATTGTGTGTTTTAATTTTTTTTTTATTTTCAAAACACATAAAGAACCGTGTGGTATGAACTTCAAGCTCGAGACTGGCCTTTCAAAAGTCAAGCAGTCGAGGCTCTTATATGGCAAGTTGGAAGTGGTGAAGGTGTAAAGCAGCTATTGTCCACTATAAGTCTGGGCAAAGAGGTCACGGTAAGTATTCTGTAAAGAATAATAAAATCTCAATGTTATCTATACTTACAATAACTATAAACGTTTGTGACACTAGCAGCTATATAACAATCGGGTACAATTGCAACATGCATGTATACTATAGAGATGTAATATAGCACTGTGTACACAAGAAATGTCTAGATCACGCATTACTAAATGGCGCACCGTAGTCTGGACCGAGTTGCTGTCCCGCTATGTAGGAGCCAGATTTTTCCCCATGCCTTAGCCACTGTTATTCTCAATAGAGTGAAGAGCGGGAGGCTGTAAAGCTCTGAGTGACAGGTGGGGAAGGGAGTTGTAGCAGTTATCTTTTCAGGTGATTTGTTAGGATACAGGGTGATCCTAGCAACCTATCATCAGCTTGTTAATAAGAAAAGTTACCTCCAGCTACTCCCAATTCCGCTCACTGTTCAGAAATCTGCAGCCTTCTGCGGTTCACTTTGCTGAGAATGACAGCGTCCGAGGCTTGGGGAAAAGCAGTCTCCTGCTTGCCATTCAGAATTGTACAGCCTCCCATTCTCCTCTGTCTGCCCATGTAAGTAGAAGAGTAAAGGGGCAGAGGTGACAGCTGTGATGGCAGTGATGTGAACGGGGGGCAGTGTACCAGAGGACACGGCTGTGATGGCAGTAAGGGGGTGGGTGCAGTGGACCAAAGGACACGGCTGTGATGACAGTAAGGGGGGGTGCAGTGGACAAGAGGACACCACTGTGATGGAAGTGATGTGAAGGGGGGGGGGGGGGGCAATGAATCCCACACCACTGTGGGTGCTGAGATGTGAGGAAGGACATCACTGTGTAGGCAGTGATGTGAGGGGGAGCAGACAGAGGACACCTTTGGGGGGGTTGATATGAAGAGGGGGCAGAGGACACAGCTGTTGGGACTGTGATGTGAAGGGGGGCAGAGGACACTCTGGGGGGTGGTGGGTGATGTGAAGATGTGACAGAGGACAGTCACATCCGTGAAGACTGATTCAATCCAGTGGTCTTCCTGTTCACTTTTTCACACTAGTCCATGCAATTGATTGATATGTCTGCACAGTTTACAAATTATACCCAGGAACAGGGGTTGTTCCTTTCTGCATCTGCCACAGTGGCCACATCCGTGCCTCTACCCATATACCGACTTTAACTAGTAAATTGCAGCTTGGCCCCTCGCACCTTATGATTGGTCATTGAGGCCACCAATCACACTGGTAAACCAATCATGGCCACGGAAAGGGGTAGGACAAACACCAACCGACTAGTAAAATTGAGTATATGTATATTGGATCAGCACAGATTTTGGAGCACCCTGGAAAATATCCATGGCATTTTTAATGTGTGGTGGATCTAACAGTGTGATTTCATTTTATTGAGACAAAGCCAAGTACACAAATGCTTTAAGGTTTTAATATTTCTATTTTTAAAAACTTTTTTTGTAGGAGATTCTTGCTGCATGCTGGGCTTTTGATGTCAGTGAAAGGCCAAGCTTTACCCTCCTTATGGACATGCTGGAAAAGCTGCCAAAACTTAACCGGAGGTTGTCACATCCAGGTCACTTCTGGAAATCTGCAGAGTGAGTAGCTTGGTACTTTATGCCATTAATGGCATGGGCTGTAAACTGACATGGGCACCTGTGCCATTTCATAGGAAACACTATGATACATTTATAACTGCTAGACAGCTGAGAGTAGAGTGATCCTGGATGCAGATTTTTCGGAGTTATAAGGCTTCTGGCTGGTAACATTTGCACATATGACAACAATATTAGAGTCTGTATGTGTTTATTGTACAAGATTTATCAGCCAAACCATCCAAAGGAGCAGCAGAAGTGACAGTTTATAAGTTCTTAAAGATCTGATAATATGTATAGATGAAGTACACTATGAACCCAAGCTGTGTTTAACATTATTAAAATATAGATCAAGCAGGACTTGGTAAATGGGTAACAGAAAGCAGAGCATCATTTTCTATGCATGGCAGTGTCTGGAAAGGTAAGTGAAACTCGAGGGCATTAAAAAGCATGTAAACGTGAGACACATATTGTATTTTGCCTGTAAGGACTATGTAGGCTGCCATTGCTGACTTTATTCTCAAAGTGCTGGTTGTCTGGCTTCTTTGTTTTCCCCCTTGGCAATACTTTTCATGTTAGTGACCCAGAACGTGTCTGCAGAACAGCAGTTCTGATTTAACTTTCTGCAAGCTCAATCTGAGGCAGCAAGTTAGAGCACTGATGTCATCGAGACAGCTGGTAATTTTCAGCAATGGCATCTTCCTTATAACGTTTCAAACTGTGCAGGATATTTTGTAAGTGTGCAGATGCAGGCACTGGAATCACTGTAGACTCCAGATATTATTTCTGCAGTTATGATATGCATACATGATATTTGCCTCTTTGGTTCCTTTTAGGCTGGCCATACGTTGCTAGTTTTTGTTTTTCAGTTGAACAAAATAAAATGAGCTGATTACCCCATCCACACATTCCCATTCAGCCTTTGTGTTCTGATGGCAGGGAGCCTTCCATGTGGAATATAGTGATCAGTGTTCCTAGTTATAGCCAGTAGCTCTGATTGAATGGGAAAAACCTGACAGGCTGGTTGTACACAAGTCGATCGATACAGCCTAACATGGATTGCAATTTTAGTCCATGTATGGCCAGCTTAAATAGATGTGCTACTGCAGAATCTCAGTACACAGTTCATCCGCTGCCTGCATGCACCATGCTTCTATTCTGCAGTGCACAGTAACTTTGGCAAATCCCAGTTGGAATCTAGGACACCAACTTCAAAAAGTGCAGGGACTAGAAGCATGCTGGATGTGGGAGAACAGCAGGAAGAGTCAAGATGTTGCAGCAGTGGAGCTCGTAAAGGACTGTATGGAGAGAAGTGATACTTAAAATTGCACGTGTCCTCCTCCCAGGCTGTAGAATAACGCTTTCTGGTGTTCTTCTTTAACTGGCATGGAAAGTCAAAATGAAAGCGAAATGGTAGAGTAGTTAGTTTTGTTCCATATATCGGAAAATGGTACCTTAAAATTATCAAATTAAAGGAAACTTGTTAATGGGCTGAGAAGTTTAGAAGCGTGAGGTGGGCAGTTAAATATCAGCTGTCAGACTTTAAGTGACCCCTGACATTCTAGCTGGCTAAGTATGCAAAGCTAAGAAAAGGTTCAGTATAAAATTTTCACTGAAGCAATATTTTATAATCTTTAGCATACAACATTTTTGTTACTAAGATGCATATGTTTGCCTGCAACATTTCTTGACAGTTTTTTTTAAATATGTTAATAATTTTGTTTTTACCTATTTTCACCTTTGGAATATGTTGTTGATGTCCTCGTCACTGCATTTCTTCTTTCCACTCTCCATGATCCTGCTGTGGGGCCTGGCACACCTTGGATATCTCTGCAATGATTTGTACTGCTGACCCTTCATTATGCCTTCACGCGCCTTTATTTTCTTCTGCATCTCTGTCATTTCCACGTCATTTATTTTACTTTTCATGGACAATTCTAAAGACAATGGCACAATTTTTACAAAAAGGACCAGTTCTACCAGCATGGTGTTCACATTCACTGCCCAGTAGCTAACAAATAAATTGTCTGGTTCATTCCATATACAAGCAGCATTCTGTGTTGTTTTATTTTACTGAAATAATTCAACTGCGTAGTCCTAGGTAATTTACCTTTCTGTAACAAAACAGAAATGATACAGGGTCATATCTTACTGACATAATTGGGTTTATTTACTAAAGCTGTAGAGTGCGAAATCAGGCTCACGTCTGCATAGAAACCAATCAGCTTCCAGGTTTTTTTCCTAAATCTTAATTGAACAAGCTGAGGTTAGAAGCTGATTAGCTTCTATGCAGAAGTCAGCCTGATTTTGCGCTCTCTAGCTTTAAAAAAAAAAAAAAAAAATACATATGTATTGAAGAAACTGGCAAGATCCATTATAGGGCTCATTACAGGATACTACCACTTTGTATCATTTAGTATATGGGATGGATGCCAGAAGTAACTTTCACTTTTGCCAGCTTATTATTCACACATAATTTTGTGTATTCATCATAACTGTTTAATTACAAAAAAAACCCCAGATACCTTGAGAAACAATGGTGATTAATGTGTACATTTTTCTATACTGCTATGGATGCATCATAGCCCCTGAAAGGTTCAGTGTCAGTACATCATCAGTACAGTGCAGTACAACCAGAACAGGATGCTTAAAGTATCTGTAAACCAGATAATAAAAATATGCACCACTGGTTCCCAATAGTTTTGTGGAATGTAACGATTCCATTTGTTTTATCAAAATAAATTAAAAGTATAAGAGATAAGAGTAGGCGATACTTGTTAATCCTGTCAGTTTGTTCAACTTCCTGAATCTGTGGGACAACGAGATCTGCTGGCTGCTCTACCTGTTGATCATTTAAAGGAAATCATATCTACTTAAGGAGTGCCCTCCATTGTCAGTCTCTGCAGCACACATATTAGCCTGTGGGAGTTTCTAGGAGCATGATTGATGGTGGCTCTTGCACAGAGTCTCACTGTCAACATATGAGAAAAGCATATCACCTGTGCGCAGTCTTCATGACAAATGATTTGCAGTGTCTTAAATAGGGTATACACTCAATTTTTTTTCGTTTGACCAGAGGTTTGAACTAAAACAACTGCCAGATCCCACATCCACACAAGCAATGTGGGTGTAGGGATCTCGTCCACTGAACTATTAATTCTGACCGAATTAATAGAATACACAGATCAGCGCTGATAGAATGCTGGTTTTCCAGCATGGCCATTCAACAGAAGCTGCGAGGAGAAGTACACATACCGAAAGTCATCCGGTTCCTCCTGGACCGGCTGAATTTGGGTACGTGTGTACCCAGCTTTAGCCCTGCAAGATAGCGGTCACTTAACTTGTCAAAATAATATAAAAATGCATTTCTAGAGCATTTCTTGGGTGATTTCAACTGCAAATGCTTGTTTGTTTTTCCATAACAAAAAATACACAAAGTGGAGCTGAAGTGTTTACAGCCACTTTAATCCTAACAAATAATACATTTGTGCTGCGTTGTGCAGCAATGGTAGTCAGCTGTTGGTTGTTGTCACAAGTATTTAGAGACCCCAAATGTTATTATTATATTATTATACAGTATTTATATAGTGCCAAAAGGTTTGCTCAGCGCTGTACATTATAGTGGGGGACAGAACATGAGACAATACAGTACAAAACAATACACGAGGGGTTCGAGGGCCCTGCTCTTTCGAGCTTACAATCTAGGTATTATGCTGGCCATACACGTATAGATTCTTGTTTGAAATTTTTTGTTTTAAGAACGTTCGTTCGATTTTCTAATCGTTAGTGTTTCAATTAGACTTTCAGGTTTTTTTTTTTCAATAAAACAATTTTTCCGACAGCGTATGTGGTTTTCAGTCAGAAATTACAATCAAGTTGAATATTAAAAGAAAGTGCAATTTTTTAGTGAAATTCATCCGTTCATTTTCATAAGAATATTTTTGTCTGAAAATCGATGTGTGTATGGCCAGCATCAGTGTACTGTTGGCCATCCCCAAAGGAATTCTTTCCTATTAAACCTCTTTACTTGACAATTGAGAACCCAAATGACTGAATTGTCGCAGTGCTATCTGGCTTGTGTTTTCTTACAGTTTTAATTATCTGCATGACTTTATTCTATGTAGATGAGCAGAATTGTTAAGAGATCCTGTTAGTTACTGCATTCTCCTATTATTGCGCCAAAAATAATTTGCAACCTTTCTGATCAACTTGTGATTGTCCTTACTAATATGTACATCTTCTCTCATTATCCTGTATTACTAATGGCTATACAGTCGTGATTATTGTTGATTAATAATGTTTTCTCCTCCTCATAGGTTATAGCTACTGGCAATTTAACTGGGTTCTGCCTTGCATGCTTCCATGCATCTTCTGCTAATCTACAGCTTCGTGGATACTTACCTTCCATCTACAAAACAAATAATCACCAATATTAGAAAACCTTTTTAACCCTTGGATGTCTCTGCTGCTTTGATCTTTTCCCATCTGCTGTTCTCTTGGTGTGGGCTGTTTGCTTCAATAACCGGTTCTGACTGCAAGAAAACTACTTGACACTAATCGTAGGACCCGATATGTATCTAGATTCACAAGCACCATGAGCCAGCAGTAACTTTTTCTAAAACAGGGTTACCAGCATTTTAGTGAAATCATTGCACTAAGTGCTTTTCTTCTGTGTCCTTCTAACAAGCACTTTTGCAGCTTTTGTGTGTGTGTGTATATATGTATTTTTAAGATTGTCCATCAAATGGCAGCACTTTACAGTTTGCACCATCTTCCCTCATTCTCTTGCAATTTATCAACCGTCAAAATCTGTCCTGTGTAAGTGTCTGGTTAACAGAAACAAAAATAACATTGCTAAAAAAATTGCAAGTGACTTGAAGATAGTCATTTAAAGTGGATGAAAACATTTTAACACTGGGTATATCCAGTAGTCACTGATATTACATTTTGTCATTTTCTATAATGAAAGAAAAAAAATATTGGCTGCGAACAACAGTAGCTTCACCACTCCTCTTATTTTTCGATATTTTTAACTGATACCTGCTTTTGAAACTGGTGCTGTTAATTTTAAAATAAATGCCTGTATTGTTCTCAGCATATGTTTATGCAAAATATTGAATTGATACTGCCTGTACACAAAAAGAGGACGTTGCAAGGTGCAGACTTTTACCCCCTGCCTTTACCAGTTGGTTTGGGACTTTCCATTGCACTCCAGCAGGTCCTCCAAGTGTCTGTACCTAGAGTATTTTTAGTAGACAACCTGACAGACCTTAGCAGAATATAGACAGCCCTGAGTGCACACGCCGAAATATACATCACCCTACAGTCATCAGGCTTCTTTTCCAATTTTTCCAAAACCTGGGAATTAAACACCTTACCTCCATTTGTGGAAACAGGTTCTTTCTCTGTCACAATGCTTACTTAACACATCTGTTGCCTTGGGGAGGGAACTTCATAGTCAAGTGGAGTTTCCTTTTGCCACCAGAATTTTTCCAGCTTTTTTTGTTTTACATTGTACACTTTACAAGTACATAATAGAAAGCAATACATTTTGCATAAATAGGCTAGTGTACTGTGCCTGTGCTAATTAAAACTTTTCCTGGCTCTACTGCAGCAAGAGATTAGGTTCAATTCACTAAAGTGGATGGGGTTTTTTTTAACTCCACTTTTTATTTTTTATTACCGTGAGGATATTCTTTTAAATGGGTTTTGTTTACAAAATATAAATATCACTTAGATGTGTAATTCTTATTTTTTCCATAGATAATGGGCTCTTAGCAATTGAAAGCTTTACTTTGTCATAAACTGTTTTACCACCTCAAATAGTTTAATGTCCTGTATTCCTTTAAGCCTATTACACATGATCAGAAAATCGTACGGAAAATATCACTTTCGAAGTTATCGTACGATAATCTGATTGTTCGTACACAGCTTTCATCCAAAATTATTTGAAGGGACAAGCATGAAAATTTTTCTTGTACGATACCAGATCGTACAATTTTATTTTAATCAGTACAGTTTTCGTCTGAAAATACAATACAAATACATTACATCACTCCCATATTTTCATCCTGTTGTAGAAGAATTTTCGCAATTGTAGTAACCTCTTCACTTTCGATATGAGACTAGCATGCAAAAAAAATCAGACGATCCTTGTCCGATATTCTCATCCTGTGTACGGGGCTTAACAGATACCTACTGAAACTCTGTTATCACCAGCCTGAAGCTGTTATTTTAGGCTTTGTTCACACTGGTTTCAGCTTGTATGTATGAGAGCTTTTGGCCGACTTGCAGGGTCGGGTGGCCAGTGCAGGGTCGGGTGGCCATTTATAAATGGCTTTCCCGGCCCCCTGCTTGTGCGCGCTCCCTGGGAGTGCGCAGCACCGCGATCCGGTGCCCGCTGTGTCCTCTGGACACAGTGAAACACCGATCGTCGGACGGGACCTCCGTGCAAGGTCCCGATCATGTGACCGCTGATTAGCCAATCAGCGATCACATGCAGAGTAGTAAGCAAGGTGTCACTTGTGACATCATTGCTTACTACGTGTGAAATCTGTGAATGATCACAGAGGTCACATGGTACAAGGCTATTCACAACAGTCTTGTACCATGTGACAAGCTGTGACCAATCACAGCTCACTCAGTAGTTCTCAATGGCTGCAATAATGCAGCTAGAGAGAAGGAGAAATGATTGCTTTTCCATCCTTTATGGGTGTAAAAACAATCAGTGTAAAAAAAAAAAAAATCTTCATCACCCCCAACAAGTAGTACAGTGTCACCATGGTATGTAAAAAATAAATATTATAAAAAAAAATTAAAAAAAAAAAGTTTAAAAATTATAATTTTTGGTTATAAACTAATTAGGGTTATTTTTTTTTTACTAAAAATATAACGGAATTAATTTTGGCCAAGATTTATGATGAAATAATATTTATTTGCAAAATTTTATAAGAAAAACACTTTTTTTCAAAATTTTTGGACTTAATAATTTACATAGCAAAAAAAAAAAAATATCCCAGTGG